CAATAAACCAACTAAAGAGATATGAAGAATACGTCTCTAAGAAATATCGGGTTCTGTCTTGTTTGCATGCGGCAATATCAGATTCGGTCTTCTCCAGAATAATGAACTTGAGAAACACAAAGCAAGTATGAGACAAGTTGAAGGAGGAATTTGAAGGTGATGAAAGAATCAAGATGATGAAAGTTCTGAATCTGAGAAAGCAATTTGAAACACTGAAGATGGCAGAGGCAGCACCGTAAAGGAGTATGCCTCAAAACTACTTGATATAGTAAACAAGATCAGATTGCTCGGAGAAGACTTCGAAGATAGAAAAGTAGTTGAAAAAATGTTGGTGAGTCTCCTTGTAAGATTCGAGGCAAAAATCTTAGTGATCGAAGAAACGTGTAATCTCAAAACTCTCTTAGTTGCAGAACTATTGGGCAAGCTGCAAACATTGGAGCATAGGACAGCCTTGAGAGAAACAAACTCCACCGAAGGAGCACTAGTAGCTACACAAAGCAGAAGCAAGAATCAAGGCAAAGGAAGAGGAGGAAGAAGAAATCAAGATGATCAAGTCACACGATCAACACAAAATTCAAACAAGCATAACAATAAGCAGCAAAAGGGATTACCAAACTGCAGAATATGTGCTCACAATAACCACCTAGAACAAGACTGCTGGTATAAAGGGAAGAACCCGATCAAGTGTAATTACTGCAAAAAGGGCGGACACGTCGAAAAGGTATGCCGATGGAAGAAAAAATATGAAGTGAACACATCTGTTTCTTCTACTCAAAATCAATTTCAACAAGAATAAATTATACCGAAGAAACCAAAGGAGAAGAGCAGATGTTTATGGCACTCAGCGAGCAATCAGAGGAATTGACACTCACTGGATAATTGACAGTGGATGTACAAGCCACATGTGTAAAAACGAAAGAATATTTTCTTATCTTAACAAGGATACAAAACTCAATATAACTCTAGGTGATGGAAAGGCATTAAGAGCAGGAGGAAAAGGAAGCATCGCAGTAACCGCAAACCAAGGAAAAAGGGTCATACCTGACGTTCTGTATGTGTCTGGCCTGAGGCAAAATCTGTTAAGTGTGAGCCAAATAATTAGAAGGGAATACACCGTGGTCTTCAAGGAAAATTCATGCTCCATAAAAGACTCACATGGGTATGAAATTGCAAACATTCCAATGATCAACAGAAGCTTCACCTTGAAGCTGCAAGGAGCTGAAGAAAAACTAAGCACTACTCAAAACAACACCATTTTATAGCATCGAAGATTTGGACATGTGCATCTTGAAGCCCTCAAGAAGATGAACTCATTAAAATTGAGTCTAGATCTCCCTGAAATCATAGGAGAAAACTGGATATGCCAAATCTGCCAACTTGGGAAGATGCACAGACAACCATTCCCTTCAAAGTCTTCCTGGAGAGCAAATACCAAGCTTGAATTGATCAAAACAGATATTTGTGGTCCTATGAGCACAGAGTCACTAACAAATAATAGGTATTTCATCCTGTTTATTGATGATCACTCCAGAATGACATGGATCTATTTCATAAAAACAAAGAATGAAGCTCTGCAAAAATTCAAGGAGTTCAAAGTTGAAACAGAAGTAGAAAGTGGAATGAAGCTGAAGTGTTTGAGGTCAGATAATGGTATAGAGTTCACTTCAACAGAGTTCAAGGATTTCTGTATTAAAGAATGCATAAAATGACAACTTACAGCCCCCTACTCTCCACAATAAAATGGAGTATTAGAAAGAAAGAACAGAACTGTAGTTGAGATGACAAGAAGCTTACTTAAGGATAAACAGCTACCTCTGCAATTTTGGTGTGAAGCCATAAACACTTCTGTATATCTGTTGAACCGACTTCCCCCTCGGGTTGTTGAGGGAAAGACCTCATATGAATGCTGGAGTGGAAGGAAGTCGGCTACAAGGCATCTA